ATGTATACAACCTTTTATTCATCATCATGCAATAAGTTTACCCAAAGACATTAATATGACCATTGAAGATGTAAAATGGCCCATTTAGGGTCAGTAAACAGTATCATACTTGAAGAAAACCCAAAGCTATACGTTGTTATTATGCCCACGAGGTGTAAAGTCAAATCATCGATTTTCATATTGTAACCAACAACATTGATTTAAAAATATTGTGATTTTTTCGATGAAATCCTTTATCGATCATGAAGGTTTACATAAAATGCAATTTATGTTAACAAACATATATGAATATGCATTATGCATAGTGTCTCGGACTTATTCGTTCATGATTGGTGCAACAATTAAACACTATTTTTTAGTGACTAAATCAGCTTAAATCTTTTAAAGATATATTTGACGCACACTAAACGAATGAGAAAAATAAGGTAAATATGTTTTAAATAATAAAGAAGAGAACTTTGGTATTGATCACTTAAAAGAAAATTTTATTGACTTTGGAGGATGCTTTACAAAGTATACTCAAACTTTTTAATTATTGGATTGGATGACTTTAGCAAATAGTCAGGACTTCTTTATATAGTATTTCACCTCCTCAATGGAAGGTGGACACTATTTTAATCTTAGGATCTACATTTTACATCTAAAAGAAACCTAAAAATAACATACAAGTATTAGAACTTCTTATAAAAATCTAGAATTAATTTAGGCCTAAAGAATTCTCATAAACTTTTAAATTTTTCACAAGCCTATCCAGTATTCTAGAACCTTCTTCCTAGTTTTAGAAACTTTTATGATGTTCTATAACCTTCTACAATGTTCTATAATGTGTCGTAGTGTTCTAGAATGTTTTAGAATATTTAGATCTTTCTATAAGATTCTAGATTTTTTTGTTACATTCTAGAAAACTCTACCAATACCTTCAAAATTTTAATTAAGTTTGCAAATATAAGCGAAGAGATTCAGTTTATAAGAATATGCACGAAAGTAATAATATAGCTAACAGTGTATATAAATGTATATTTAAGGTAAAAGTAATGATGCTTTCTAAAGATTTATAAAATACAATTTATTTTATCTTAATTATAAAATATATTTAAATTTATAAAAAATGTTAATATTAAACAATTCAAAATCTTTACTGGCAAAATTGAAATTTGGATAAGTAGAATCTTTTGTTTTGCAAACTTGATATTATGGCAAACAGGTTGAGTTAAATATGTAACATTCTTATAGGAATCAAAGTTTTATTGTTGAAAAATCTAATTAAAATAGATATAGATGGTAAAAAAATCAAATACGTTAATTGTTATTATTATTATTTGTATATATTTTCATATTGATGATGATATTTATTTTTCTCTGTGTACATATAATGACTATTATAAATTTAAAGAACGATTATGTTATAAATGTGATTAAAATATTAAAAATATTTTTTCTGAATCGCAAATTTTTAAAACTTTAACCATTTTGATTCAAAATATGCGGGAGTCACAAATCAATTATATATGGTACTTACCTTTCAAACTAATATTAACTGTCATTATTTGTCAAATAATATCAAAGGTCCCTGTCTTTTACCTAAATTTAAAATTTAGTTTTTGTGCTTCAATTGTTAACTAATTGGATAAAGTACAGGGACCTCTGACAGAATTAGTTGCACAAAATGGAACTAATATCTCTGTCCTAACTACTGAAAATGCTGTTTCCTTTTTATCAATATTTGATTTTCACTAAGCTGGCAACTAAACTTACTTTACCACCCTTTTATACAACCAGCATTAAAAAAACTAAATAAACAGAGTTTCAAACCTAAATACCGGGAGAGCCACCCGAAGCCCTCGCCGTATCCCATCTTACGGATGATGCTGCACATAAAAACTTTGAGCCTTCCAAATTAACCTTCCCTTTCCCCGTTGTGAAGTTTGTCAACCACAGGTGGTGGCGTAATTCGTCCTCCGAGGCTGCGTACGGTATGTCGATCTTGTTCCCTAGACCCTAAATATGGAACCCCGAAGTCTAGTTCAATTCATTCATGCAATTGAGATTGCATATGTATTCACTTTAGCAACAAACAAAAACAACCCCTAAAACCTAAATATGTTACCCCCAAAGTTCAGTTCATTCATACAATTGAGATTGCGTATATTTTCACTTTAGCAAAAAAAACAACAACCCCTAAACCCTAAATATGAAACCCCTAAACAAAAGCTTGCCTTACACCCGATCGGGAATCGAATCAAGGCTTGAGAATTGAAGGGTGGATAACATCGTTTGGAACTGCAATGGCGTTATTGTTTTGCAGTTGTGGAGATGGTTTTTGTCCCATATGAAGTTTGGGTTTGTTGAACACGAAAAGACTGCTGAGTTTAGTTTGTTTTACTAAGCTTTTTGCGATAGGAAAATTCCGGTCAATAATATAGGAAGTCAAACGGTCGGTCTTACGTGACAAAATATTGTTAAATCAGTTGGGTTAACATGTAAGGTAAGCTTTCCTTATCTCATATTAATATTAATGGTTGTTAGCGACAAGTGACCGATTTATTACAAATTAATAATATTAATGATAATTTTGTTGCTTTTGAAGTTTCTGTAGAAAAAACGAAAATTTACTCAAATATTAGTAATTATTTTTATAGCTTACGAAAATTTACCCTCATGACGAGTTTCATAACAAATAACTTAGATCCTAAAATAATTTTTCAACACCTACATTTTTTTAAAAAAAATTACTTAATAAAAAAATAAGTGCCTAAACAATGAATTGAAAAACATTTTGGTGTCTAAAGAATTTTTTTGCTAAAAATAGGTGCCTAAAGTTTTATCAGTTACACTTTTAGTTGCCTACATTATATTTTTTAAATTTTTTAATAATACAAATATTATTTTTAAAAAAACTTTAAAAACTTAATTTATTTATAAGAAACCTCAAACTTTTAATGGAATATAAGAAAACCACTAAAAAACTAAAATATCTCATTTCAACCCCATTACCAACTGTTGCCGACCATCTCCGGCCACCATCGTTGTAAAACCTTGGTTTTGATCGAAATCGCACGATACAAATTTTGGTGGCGGTGTGGCTTATGGACGTCGGGATCAACCAGAATCGACGAAAAACAGTAACGGTGGCTTAAAATTTGACAAACCTTTGAATGCTTATCTACGACAAACGGTGTCACTTTACGACGAAAGGCTAATAGGGTTTGATCGATGGTCGACGTCAGTACCAGTGAAGGGTGACTACCACGGATGGCCGATTGAGGACCATGGAAAGGGGAAAGTGGAAGGGGGAAAGAGAAAGGGGGAGGGGGACGCAGGTTGTTGGGTTGTTTTTTTTTTAATTAAATAAATTCTCAAAATTACCAGAACGTGATATGTGTCACTTAACGACTAAATTTAACGGCCGTTACAGTCTAGACATCTAAAAGTATTATGATGAAAACATTGGTCACTTATTTTTAGCGAAAATTATTTTAGGCATTAAACATTTTTCGAGACAAAATTTAGACATTTATTTTTATATTAAGCCAAAAAAAATCACCCACAATATTTTCAAATTTTATTGCAATAAGTGTTGACAATTAATAATTAACAAATTTCAGCTAAAAAGGAATATTTTAAGAACCCATCAAGTGATCGGAGTTCAAACAGTTACATTATAGATTATGTATGCGTTGTTAATTGGTTATAAAAGTTATGAACCCAATTACCTTATAATCACTATATACTATTGAAAAAATATTTTAATTAAAACCAAAATGTTAAGATTTAATATAATTATCATAGGTCCGTTGCTGAATTTTTGAATGATACAATCATATTAAATTTTATTTTTTGTATTTTTTTATTTGACTCAAAATAATAATATAATTATCTTAGGCTCTTGCTGAGCATATATAGAAGGGGCACTTGCCCATGGCCCCCTCCGATTAAGAGCCCAAAATTATGAATTCTACATATAATTAAAAATGATAAATTATTTATTTAGCAACTCATCTATTATTTTATTTATATTTTGGTTATCTATTTATTATTTTAAATCAAACGTTACATTTTGTTTTTTTTATTCATCATTAAAAAATTAACGGCAACATGAATGTAGTATTTTTAAATTATTTTTTATTTTCCACTTAATTTTCTTTTATTATTATTTTTTGACAGTATGGAAAAAGTTGAAATCGAACTTGAATCCTCTTAAAAAAAAAGGTTATGTTTGTTTTGTGTAAGTATTTGAGTGTTTACTAAAACTACTTAATGTTTTCCATTTAAAATTTGATTGATTGATTAGATAGCCTATTACACGAAATAAAAAAATAATTTACAAATAAATTTATTTATTTTTATTTGCTCTTACAATTCAATTTTTTTCGATTTTTGTTATTAGAGACTTAATTTCTATCTTTACTCCTTGAAACTAAAATCTTAGAAATGAGTCTAAATTATCTTTATATATTTAAAAATAATTACAACAATATTCATTTCTCTATTTTTCAATTAATTTCTTATTTTACCCAAGGAATGAGAGTAATATATATGTCACACTCAAGTATAAGATTTTATTCCAAATCGAGTCGAACTTCAGATTACGTAAAATCTCTCTATTCTCGAATCAGACCAGATGATACATAAAGATTTATAATACTAAATCAAATTCAGATCAATCAGATATCTAACCCAACCGAACTTATGCACATCTTATTTCGAACGCAATCATTAACCATTTATTTCTAGGAGATGAATTCCAAGGAAAAGGGGGCATCTATAGAAATTTATGAAGCCCAAATGAGGCCCACTATTTGAGCCGGGGCATTATCGTCTTTCACTGTCAGCATCAAAAAATTAGGGTTTCAAACTTCCCCAATATATATATAAATCATCATAAAAAGCCGTAGTAAGAGCATCGACATCTTGAAATCCATCAGGTCAGCTTCCAACTCAATTTCTTTAACGTCGGAGAATATCACTTATTTCCTTTAGAAATTCAAATTAACACTGCGTTTCATTTTCAAATTTACTTTTGGGGGATTCGATCAGATTTGCGTTGAGTAGATATGGCTAAGTCGAAGAACCACACCGCTCACAATCAGTCTTACAAGGCTCACAAGAATGGAATCAAGAAGCCCAAGAGGCATCGCCATACTTCCACCAAAGGGGTATTATTTCCCTTTTCTCTATCGATTTTTCGTGAACTTACATTTTTCCTCTGATTTTTTTTTAAATTTCTCTTGTGATTATGTAAAGATGGATCCAAAGTTCTTGAGGAACCAGAGGTATGCGAGGAAACACAACAAGAAGAATGGAGAGTCTGCCACTGAGGAAGAGTAAATCTTTAATGGAAAATGGTATTAGCTTTGATTAGGGTTATCTAATTAGGGATGTTTCTCTTTCTTCTTTGGAATTTAGTGTTTACTGAGCTTTAGTAGTGATATTTCTTTTTATTTTTGGGATTGTTACTTGGAAAAAGATTTGAAGTTGTGAGCTTATTATTATCAAGAACATGCTCTGAGCTTATTAACTATTTCCTTTTTCCTCTGTTATTATGTTCAAATATTTATTTCATTGATTTGGCATTAAAAATTTTGGGATCTTTACCTACGGATAATGCATGTACATGTATATGATCTGTGGTGCATTTCATGATTTTGATTTCTGCATGAAGGGATTTGTGGTTTGATCCTTCAATGTAGGCATTAGTATGCAATATAGTCCAAGAAGATTTTTTCTTCTGCTATAGATTATGCATTAGGTGGCCTGCATTAGAAAATCTAGAGATCGTGTAGCTCGGAGTCGGCCGTTAGTGTGTCCTACACTAGCATATTTATCCTTGTACCAATATCCAGCCTCAAATACTTGTGTATTGCTGGCATAGGAACTGTTTGTGTTGGTCCAAGCCTGTGAATCGTTACAGATTTTTTTGAAGTTTTTCATCAGATCTGAATAGTTCCTTCTAAGGATTGTAATTGATTATGTAGAGTTCATTCTCAAAGTGGTTATAATTTATATTTTAGCACCATTACCCTAGCTAGTTTGCAACCCTTGGGCAGGATTCTGGGTTGCGAAGATTGCTGTTTTAGGAACTTGTGATTTTTGTTTGGCCGACCTTAGTTTGAGCATAGGAGAATGTTTTGGTTTCGAGTCCCGGATCCATTGAATACCATTGTTTTGAGATTGTTGTATGAACCAATTGAGCTATGCACTGGGCTCAGTTTCTTGTAAAATGGAGGTCACAATATGAGGATAGGGTCATAGTGGTAGATATTGGGATTCAATTTTCGAAGTTTTGGTTCACAGTGGTAGATCTTGGGATTCAATTTTTGAAGTTTTTGGTTTACTGTTTTTGAAATCAGCCCCTTGAAATTCCGGTTATGGGTTTCACTACTTGGTCATCACTCTAGCGTTATCGTTGGCAATTGAGCCTCTTTGGGTGGTTTAGTCTTTAGAGTTCTTTGGGTTTAATTATATATAGCATCACTTTAGACAATACAATCAACATGTAATATATGTACAAATCATTTTTTAGAGTAAGAAACTCTACTATGTCATGGTTAGCTTTTTTTTTCCTTTTTACATTTATTGTTGTGCTAGTATATTAAATTCCTATGACACGTTAAAGTTTAAACTAAGGATCTAAGATATTAGAACATCGGAGCAATTGTTAATTTTAAAAATCTTTTAAAATTTGAATCAAATGTGTATAATACTTTTAATGCATTTTAAGGATCTTTTTCTTTTTCTTATCTTAAGACTTTCAACTCAAACTTCCAGCGTGAGTTAACAGTAATACAAGGGATCAAAATTGGATAAATTGAAAATATAAGGGATCACTTGTATAGTTTATCCAATTAAAAAAATTGAAATATTAGTAAGATCACGTGAGTATATATGTCCACTAAAATAAATCAAGGAATTGCAGATTGCTTATCCACGACATTTCTTTGACAGGAACACAAATTTACTAACCTAAGATCGAAAACGATATGAGTTGAGTTTTACAAATTCAGATATATTTATTTTATTATATTTTATGTAGTTCATAAATTTAAGTATTAGTTGTCATAGCTAATTTAATCATTAAGGCTTAACAGACTGATAATCATGTATTAAAATTTACATTGAAAGTTTGCTTTCATATAACAATTCTCTTTCGTGGAGTATAACAAACAAATGAATTTGATCACGTGCTCAAATAGTATGTACTATGTGGATAGTCGTATGTCATAGATGGTCGTTGGTAAAAAATTATATTGAATAATCCGAATTCTTTTTCCGAGCACTATTGATGGTCACGATTTTTTTATATATTTATAATTTATTATTTTATAATTTATGATTTTTTAATTATCCTTAGATTTTTATAATGTTTTCTATTTTTAATAAATTTTAATATTTTTAATAATTTTTTAATTTTTCTCTTAAAGATAAAATAAGTCATCGAAGATTCAATTAAAGTTAATAATGCATTCGAATTCGACCAAAAAATCAATTATATCTTTTAACTCAACAAAACAGTTAATTAAATATCTTTGTCATATAGTATAGTAAATCATCATGTTAATTATGTAATAGTCAATGTTAAATAAAAGAAAAAATTGATAAAATTAAACAAGTTTAAGAATAATAATTAAAAAATATAAAAAGTTAATTGATTTGAATTTATTTCGGGGACAAAATGGCACTTCAAGAAATCTTTAAGTGATTATAAATTTAATTTTTTATTATATTTTAAGGTTAAATTATACAAAAGATTACTAAACTATGCTCAAATTATCATTTTAGTCATTAAGCTTTAAATTTTCACCAAATAATCATTAATTTTATTAGACTGTTATAAAATATCAAAGTAATGCTATAATCAAATATAAAATAATTATTTTATAAGATTTTGATAAGATTTAATATTTTTTAATAATAATTTGATAAATTTAATTATTATTTTATATAAATTTAATAACTATTTTATGACCACTAAAAATAAATAATAATTATATAACGTTTGAAATTTCAGCAGTTAGAGTAATGATTTGGGCATAAACTAATGACCTATGATATAGTTTACCCTTTTTTTATTATTCTCTTTTTCTTTTCCTTCATTCATCGAAGGTCGGGGGAAGGACAAGAGGCTCTTCTTAGCGCTGGAAAATAGAAAAAAAGGAGAAATTAAAAAGCAGAGAGTAAGAGCGGAAAAACAAAAGAAAGTTTCTTCAGCTTTCGTTAATGGCGGTTAGGGTTTTCTATTGATCCCCCCTTTCACAAAGGAAATTCTTATTTCTCTCCCGCCTACTATTCCAACAACCCTGGCTTTTCTCTCTCTTCTCGTTTCCCAAAAACCCTAATTCCAGAGTCTCCCCTAAGTCTCTCAATTTTCAACTTTCGAGTTCTCAATCTTTACGATTCCGCGTGGCTATTATTGGATTCGAGAAATTTTGAAATAGGGAGCGAGAAGCTGCGATGGGCGCTCAAGAGAAATCTCAAGGCAACTCCAATTCGCTGCAGGTCAGTTCATCTCTCGTTGTCCTCTTTTGGGCCCTAGAATTTTGCCTTATTTTCTGCTAGTTCACTCCTTGGTGAGTTAGGTATTTAGTTTTGGCTTTTGGTGTTTTGTTTTTATCATTGGGGAATAATTGGAATTTACGGAGTAAGTGAAGTTCTTATCTTTCGATTAGTTTCAAATTATTTTCTGCTTTACAGGTAAATTTGGGACTCTTTTCCCCTTTTTCATAGTAGTTATTAGGTTTTGGTTTGAAGTGTTTGGTGAAGTGAATTAGCTTATCAAATGTGGTCAGGGCTGTGTTTTAGTCTTAAATACATTTTACGCATAAGAAATTTGGAATACGTTATGATTCATTTTGCAGTATGACTCTACTTTAGTTGATGTAAAAGGATGTGTACTAGACTAGAGTAACTAGACTACTGACGACTGCATGAAAAAATTGTTTTTCATTCCACCTGGTATCATGCTTATTTTGGCTAGGTTACTAGCTAACTGGGATTTTAGCTTGTTTGCTATGTTAGCTAATTGTAGGTATTTTTTTCTGGGGGAAAATCCTGTGTGGATAGACTGGTTTAACTGTCAGATTTTAGCATTCTGTTATCTTGGAGTGCCAGAGATCGTAATTGTATATTAGTGATTTTTTTTTGTGGGGGGGGGGGTTTGGTGGTTTCGAGAACAGAAGTTTTTTGTTGTTGGCAGTGGGATAGCTTAAATAGCGTTCCAGGTCCAACTTGTGTTAATGGACTATGAAATGATGTCATTGTTTAGTGAACTAGATTTGTACTCTTCCTGTGTTGTATATTCTGTGAATTATGCACGAGTTTGGGAATTATATTTATACATACTCTTCATTTCTTGGTCAAATTGTATATTGTTATGAGGGAATGGCTCAGGTAGCAGCTAAAGGTTTAACTTCATGTTGTGGAGCTATGCAGTGTTTTAATCATATGATCCTTTGATACACCAGACCCTTTTTCAGGAAAAAATATTCTGCTAACCTTTCCGACCAATCAGAACCTCCAATCTCAACATTTTTAATGTCATCAATCCTCTCAAATCATAGCTTCCAAGTAACCACCAATAAAAAAGTTTACTTGGAAAAAAAAGTGAAGATTCACCCACAAAAAGGATGACATGGAGAAAAAAAGGTGAAGTGGGTGGTTTTAATTGGTGGGGCTGAGAATCATAGATGGGGTGGTGGGAAGGGTTCATAAAATAAAATTTCCTTTTTCAGTCTTTGATGATTGTTTCCTGAATTTTGCATGTCTTTGATGTCTATTTAACTCCTCTCCTTTTCTTTTCGGTCAAAATATTTTACTTGTAAATTCAGCGGGTAAAGTTCTATCGTTTGAGTGAGGATGGTAAATGGGATGATCAAGGAACCGGGCATGTCACTGTTGATTACTTGGAGGTCTGTTCAAATCTTCTATTTAATTCTGGTTTTTGTGCTTTGAATCTGGATGTACTGTATTTAGGTTTTGAAAATAAATTAGTTAGATGACAATGTCTTCTTTTTCGTTTTAAATTAATGTAAATATTATAATTCAGAGATCAGAAGAGCTGGCTTTGTTTGTTTTTGATGAAGAAGACAATGAAACGTTGCTTTCACATCGTATCCGCCCTGATGACATTTATAGAAAACAAGAAGGTATTCTTCTGACTTTACTAATATTCACATCTGTTGCTTGTGAAAGTATCAGTTTGATTGGATGATATGTGCATTTATCATCAGATACAATCATATCATGGAGAGACTCCGAGTATTCTACTGAACTAGCACTTAGTTTTCAAGAGAACACGGGATGCTCTTACATATGGTAACAATGTTTATAAACTGCTTTATCCTCTTTCAGTGCTTTTGATGTCAATTTTTATATCCTTTTTCTTACAGTTCATCATCCTGGAAGTTTATGATGTTAACCTTTATTTCCCTTTCTTCTCCCCTTTATTTATGCTCTTTCTCTATTGCAGG